AGCAACATACTGAAAAAACATCTTTCTATGTTAATAAGTATACTTATATAGCATTGATTTTAACAGTTATATGGTAATCTGTTGTTTAGGTATATCACCTATGGCTGGATAGTTACATTTATTTTTCACTATTAACAATCTTATAAATATACTATGTGCAAACATGTATGTTTTTTAAGGCTTCTGAGTGCACAGCCAGCAGCAATTCAGCATAAGTAGGGAGGAGGAGCTGTCACATCCTTCTTTGTAGATCCATGCACTAGGCAATCTCTTCCTAACAATCAGATGGTTGCAGGGAACCATTTGATTCCCCTATGCCACGTGACTCCCACCATCCTGGTCACAACTGATTGGATTGGCATCCCCTTCTCCCCTAAAAGCAACCATCTGGGAGTGGCCCAATGCCTATGAGGGGGCAGGAGACCCCTTCCCTGAGAGGGATTCCTACCCTGGGTGGTGGGTGGACAAGCTGAGCAGATTCTCCCTCAAGTCACTGAATACAACACACACAAGAGGCCTTTAGTCAGCAAGGGCAGGAGCAGGCAATAGTGGATTCCCCACAACCTCAGAGAGGAAGGAATTCTTTCCAGTGTGATTCTCAGAGCCACCCTCCCTGGCTCCAGCTAGTTTAACCTGGAGGGTGAAGGGATGGCCTCCAGAGCCAGAGAACCCAGCTTTGGATCCTGGTTCCATCACCTCTTAACTAGAGGATCTCTGGCTAGTCCCTTTGCCTCTCTGATCCTGAGTTTCCTCTTCTGAAAACGAGGAGATCAACACCTACTACAAAAGGTCACTGTGAAAACTAAACAAAATAATATATTAAAAAGGCTTTAGAAGAATGCCTGGTATAGAATAGGTAGTATTATGCCTCTGCCAGGAAGGTGTGTTTTACCTAGAACCACAGGAGTTTAAAGAGTGCTATAGGTCACTGATACCTGCAAGGACAAACTGGTGACTTCAGATACCCTGCTATTATTAGTTTACTTTTTAAGTGATTCAATTTCCTGCACCAGCTTGGCAAACTCCTTGAGGGCATGGGCTCTGTCTTCTGTTCCATTCTACCCTCCACTGCGCCTTCGAAGGGTATAAGCTCCCAGTCTGTGATTGATTCTGCTGATTGGTGAGAATGTCTTTTCCTTTTTGAGCCAGCACAGCCAGGTTGAACCAGCATAGTGGGCAGCTGGCCCGGCAGCCTAGCTGTCCTCCCTCCATGACAGCCTTCCAGAAGTAACTCTCCCTGGAAGGCAGGCAGAACACAGCGGCCCTCAGCAGCAAGCGGAAGCTTTGTGTTCAAAGCAGAGCCAGCCAAATTCTTGGGACTGGAAGTTGTCACCTATTTCAGTTTGCAGGCTTCAAAAAACATCCCCATCGAAGCTAACCCAGAACCTCCTATAGCATGTGCCAGGGCTGACAAAATGTAGAGGTGCAAGTCTGTTTTAGGGACTCCTCCCTTCAGGAAGGCCTGCTTCCTGAGAAGGCCTGAAAGTCACACCGCCCTGGCTTCCCCCTCTGGTATGTCCTGAGGCTAGAACCCCAGACAAATAGGGAATGAAATCATGAAGTCAGTGAAAGTTGTAGGTACTTCTCACCCCTTCCGCCCCGCCGAACTTGCCTGCTGGCCTACCTAGGCCACCAAACATGGGCCCTGAAGGCCTAATTGCCCAGCAGCTACCAAGACCTGGCTTCACACAAGCTGGAGAGAGGCTCAGCTAAACAGGACAACTAGAGAGGAAGGAGATCCTGAGTAGCAGCAGCAGCAAGTTTGGAGCTAAAGGTGTCAGAGCACAGGGATTCAAACTTTTTTTTTTTTTTTTAATATTCCTCTGTGCTGGGTATTAGACTGGGTGTGTGGCGTAATAATATGAAAAGCTAAAACATAGTACACACCATCTGCTGATTACTATGCCAAGCATTTTACACATATTAACTCATTTAATCATTATCAAATCCATTGAAGTAGGTAGTATTATTATCTCTATTTTACAGATAAAGAAACTGAGGCACAGTAATTTGTTTAAGGTCTCACAGCTACTAAATGGCACACCTGGACATGCACATAATTCTACTGTTATGGTTTGAAACTGTCCCCTTCGAAACCCCCCTGTTGAAACTCACTCCCCAGTGAAACAGTATCAGGAGGTGGGGCCTTTACGAGATGCTTGAGTCATGAGGGTTCCGCCCTCATGATTGGATTGACTAGTCCATTCCTGGGTTAATGGATAATAGGTTATCATTGTGTGAGTGGGTTAGTTATCACAAGAGTGTGTCTGTTATAACCAAGTTGGTTCTCTCTCATGAGCCCCCTCACCACGTGATGTCCCAAGCTACCTTGGGACTCTGCAGAGAGTCCCCACAACAAGAAGGTCCTGACTAGATGGAATCCTTTGTCCCTGGACTTCTCAGCCTCCAGAACTGTAAGAAATAAATTCCTTTAAAAAAAAAAAAAAAAGTACCTAGTCTCAGATATTTAGTTATAGCAACAGAAAGTGGACTAAGATACCCACTGGAAAGCTTTTCAGTTAAAGTATAAATATGATCATCTACACATCTATACATTTAATTCTCATAGTAAGTCTATAAGCTAGGTTAATGTGGTCTCATTTTACAGATGAGAAAACTGATGGTCAGAGAGGTTAAATATGTTCAAGTTCCATAAGCAACAAGTGGTGAGTATCATGCCAGGCCTGTGTGGCTCCACCACACCCTGACACAAAGAGAACACCTTGCAAAAGAACAGGAAAACGCTTAATGGGCTTAGGAAAGGAGGCCACTGCAAAACCACAAAAATTGGGAATATGCTACCCTGCTGGAGGTAGCACCCAGGCACAGCAAAGGGTGGAGGCTCCGGAACCAATCTGATTACTTGCCCCATTGCAACTTTCAAATCACACCAATTAGCCATATTGGTGAACTGATTTAAATCTGATAGTGGCAGGTTTCTAAATGCCTTTTAGAAAGGTGAACCTGGCAATGCTTAAAAACTGGCTCTAAATGCAGCCATATCTCAAATAGAAAAATCTCCAAGCTTTACACTTTCTGCTCACTTTCTAAGCCGTCTAATTTTTGTTTTTTCTTTTCTTCTCTCCTTCCCAGTTAGGATAATTAAGATCTTAGAATCATAGACCTGGAAGGAAGTTTAGAGATGACTTAGTACCCCTCTGCTTGCTTTAAGGCTACTCACAGCAACAGTTACCTCCCTCTGTATGTTTAAACCTTTTCTCCCTGCCAGATGAAGGTTTGCCCTTGTGAATGGGGTTGAGTGATCAGCTAGTGGCAGAGCTATTTTAAGGCACCTGCCTGGAATCCCACAATGAAGGCTGATGCAGAAGCCACCTGCTTAAAGATGGCTTTGTCTACCGATCCCCTACTACCACCACCACCCGCCCAGGTCCTCACTGGGGAAGGCCAGAGGGTCTACTCTGCCTTTTCCAAACCTAAAGGAGCTCTTGGAAGGGTCATCAGGAATACAGAAAGAAATAGGATCTATTAAGGAACTAACATGCAAATAATGACAGATAAGATTGTGTTAACAGACTCTTGTAAGAAGTTTTATATGAGCACCCAAACCAAAAACTACCAGTGCCTTCAGGGATCCAGAAACTTCACCAAGGAGGATGCCCAGGAAAGGAACTGAGGCCCAGGGAAGCTGCAGGCCTGGGAGGCTACATGGTTTCTCCACTGAAGGCAGGCAGCGCTGGTTTTGCAACCTGACTTTCCCCTTGCTAGCGTGGGACTACAACCAGTGACACACCTTGGCATTCCCAGCCTTTATTTTCATTGTGCAGCTGTCTGATTGGGTGGGTCCCTACACTAAAATGGAAAAGATAATGACTACAAAATTGAATTACACCATAGACAGATTCTTTATCACCACCATCAAGCACTCACCGATTACCCAGCTCCTTTTAGATTGAGTGAGTTTGACCAATGGAGTGGAGGCATATACTAAGTTCAGCATCTCTGGGTCCCTCCCCACTGTAGCTAAGTTCCCAGCCACGGTACTGTTGAGGCCCTAAGTTCCCAGGGTGAAGATCTGACTGTGGCACCAACAGGCACATCAGGATAACAATAATCTTAGTCCCATACCAGTTGTTTCTCAACAGAAGCTAACAACTTACGTTGATTAAATGTCTGCTAAGCATCAGGCACTCTGAGGAGTGCTATACATACATTGTATATATACAATGAATCAGGTACATTATTATGCCAATTTTTTTTTTTTTTTGAGACAGAATTTTGCTCTTGTTGCCCAGGCTGGCATACAATGGCTCGACCTCGGCTCACTGCAACTTCTGCCTCCCGGGTTCAAGTGATTCTCCTGCCTCAGACCCCCAAGTAGCTGGGATTACAGGTGTGTGCCACCACATCTGGCTAATTTTTGTATTTTTTGTAGAGACAGGGTTTCACCATGTTGGCCAGGCTAATCTTGAACTCCTGAGTTCAGGTGATCCACCTGCCTCAGCCTCCCAAAGTGCTGAGATTACAGGCGTGAGCCACCATGCCTGGCCTATTATGCCTGTTTCACAGATGAGGAAATTTAAGAGATTAGGTCACTTGCTTAAGGTTCCCTCACTGAACCGTGAACTCCAGGAGACTAAGGACTGCTTTATTTCTGGTGCCTCCCTCACACCCAGAATGGTGCTAGACACAGGGAAGATGTTCAATAAAAAAAATGCTAAATGGATGAATGAACAAGTACTAAATGCTGAAGTAAAGAGGAATGTGTTCTCCAGAAAGAGAATGAGAAATATAAATGACCAAGCAGAGAGGAAGATATTCTCTAGGCTAACTAGAAGAACTGTAATTACAGCTCTTTTAACCTTCCCTTTCTCCGTGTAGGTTTCCCATTGAGTGTTTTCAATGGGAAATGTCTAACTGCACTGTGGGTGTACACCACGGCCGGTTGCTATTTTTGGAACACTTGTGAATCCTGGGCCCAGAGTCATGACCAATACTGGTGAGTCATACTCCCCATACAGAGCTCCCTACACACTGGCTGTCAGAAAAAAAAAAAAAAAAAAAAAAGCAAAACAGAAGTTGCCATCTCGTCCTGTGCTCCAGCTGTCTCATTTTACCTTCTGAAATGATGGAGGAAGTTCTGCTGAGGATGGGGTCAGGGTAACAGCAGACTTCTGAATAACTCTGCACCCCCAGAAACCTGCAAAGGACACAGGCCCTCTTGGTGGTCTCCTCCTGGATACCTTGCTTTCTCCTGGAAGAGCCCTCCCTTCCACCCCGGATATCACTGTGAACCTGTAAGTGGCAGTACCTTCTTTCTGATAGGCAATGTCTACTGTGCCATCCTAGGCAGGTATAATACATAAAATAACCTGTCACCTGGGACCATTAGCCTCTTTAACAAAGGACAAATTTCATTCCATACTGGAGAGAAAGTGTCCTGGAGAGAGGAAACATGTTGACTTAAAGTCACACAAAGGTGCAAAGACCTGACGGTAGTCCTTTTTGGGGCAGAAAGAAAGCAGAGAGTTCAGGAGGATAGAACTCTCGATCACAGACTTGGGTACTTGTGGACTCTCATACAGGTTGGGGGTTATTAATTTTTTTTTTTTTTTTTTTTTTGGAGACGGAGTCTCACTCTGTCCCCCAGGCTGGAGTGCAGTGGCGTGATCTCGGCTCACTGCAACCTCTGCCTCCCGGGTTCACACCATTCTCCTGCCTCAGCCTCCCAAGTAGCTGAGACTACAGGTGCCTGCCACCATGCCTGCCTGGCTAATTTTTTTGTATTTTTTAGTAGAGACGGGGTTTCACCATGTTAACCAGGATGGTCTCGATCTCCTGACCTCGTGATCTGCCTGCCTCGGTCTCCCAAAGTGCTGGGATTACAGGCATCAGCCACCGCGCCAGGCCCGGTTGGGGGTTATTCAGACTCCTTTGCTTAGCTATGGTAGATGGCTAAGTTTTTGCTTCCAAGTTCTCTTGACCATGAGACATGTAGAGCCAGGGAGGAAAGAGAAAACCCAAACCAGGTTACTGTTACCTGTGAATAAACACCTTGATCGAGTTCTGAGAAGAGGAGTTATGATACTAAAGGTTAAGTGGAGGTTTTCACTCCTCTTCAGATTTTGACTTTCATAACTCTGCCGTCCCTTTACTATAGAGAACTGAGAAAGAATAGTATTTGGGCATGTGAGGAGATTCCAGCTGCATAAGCAGATCATGAATGTTCCCAGTGCCAAGTCCTCAGCGAAGAGTGCCCCAGGAGTTTCATTCCTACTGACCGACCTGGGTAACGCAGGCATAAGAACAGAGAGAGAGGTGGTGCTTTTAAAAATAGATCTGACTTAGTAGTCTTTAAATAACTAAGGATTATGATATGGGAGAGGGCTACTTTGCATCTCTCTCTCTGCTAAGAGGAGAACTTGACAAAATGGGCATGAAACTAAAGGGATTTGGGTTTGCTAAGTATAATGACTTCTAAAAGGTAAGAAAGCTGCTGAAGAAGAGTATTTGCTTCTCTGTAGCAGGATGGACTCTTACTTGACTGTGATGGTCACTGAAATGTAGCCTACCTTGACATAGAGTAAATTCTTGCTCTTCAAAGTGTGGTCCCCAGATCAGCAGCAGCAGCATCACCTGGGAACTTATTAAAGATGCTGAGGCCCCACCTTGACCTCCTGAATAAGAATCTCCTCTCAGCCGGGAGCGGTGGTTCACACCTGTAATCCCAGCACTTTGGGAGGCCGAGTTGGGCAGATCATGAGGTCAGGAGATTGAGACCATCCTGGCTAACATGGTGAAACCCTGTCTCTACTAAAAAATACAAAAAAATTAGCCAGACTTGGTGGCGGGTGCCTGTAGTCCCAGCTACTTGGGAGGCTGAGACAGGAGAATGGCGTGAACCCGGAAGGTGGAGCTTGCAGTGAGCCGAGATCGTGTCACTGCACTCCAGCCTGGGCGACAGAGTGAGACTCCATCTCAAAAAAAAAAAAAAAAAAAAAAAACTCCTTTCTAACAAAGTTCCCAGGTAAAATGCCTGAACCTTATGAACTGAGAAGCACTGGGCTAAATGATCTTTGCAGATTCCTCCTGTGATGGTTAATATTGAGTTTCAACTTAATTGGATTGAAGGATGCAAAGTATTGTTCCTGGGTGTGTCTGTGAGGGTGCTGCCAAAGGAGATTAATATTTGAGTTAGTGGGCTGGGAAAGTCAGACCTACCCTCAATCTGGGTGGGCACGGTCTAATCAGCTGCCAGTGTGGCCAGAATAAAAGCAGGCAGAAGAATGTGAAAAGACTAGACTGGTTTAGCCTCCCAGCCTACATCTTCCTCCTGTGCTGGTTGCTTCCTGCCGTCGAATATCAGACTCCAAGTTCTTCAGCTTTGGGGCTCGAACTGGCTTCCTTACTCCTATTATGGGACTCATCTTGTGACTGTGTGAGTCAATCCTCTTAATAAACTACCCTTTATATATAAATCCATCCTATTAGTTCTGTCCCTCTAGAGAACCCTGACTAATACACCTCCTATTTGAGGATTTCATGAGCTGCCACTAGTTGAGAAATGGTGCAGCCCCTCTGGGGAGGGAGGCCTGGCTGCTAAGGAAGTGGGAGGCACACTGGTATTCTCCTCCCAAGCCACAGCTCTCCACATGCCTGTTGTACAGGGGAGAAAGTACACCTTCCTCCTCAGCCTCAAGGGTACCATAGCTTCGGGTCCTCTGAACACACGAGACCCCCTGTAGCAAATACCTGGGAGCCCAGACAGCTTGTAGAGATGATCTGTGCCTCCCTCAGACCCACGGAAGACTCCCAGAGCAAGGAGGCAGGTAGGCAGTCCAGTGGTCTCTGCAGATCCCAGCTCTCCTCTCACTTGTAAAAGCTATCTTCTTGCCTCCCTGGGGGCCACAGGTGACAGGGAGTGCCCAATTTCTCATCTATTGAAGAATCATAAACCAACTAATATGTTTTTTCCAGAAGGTTTTTAAAAGTCATTTTTATGTAAATTGTTCATAAATACCAGTGAGAAAAAGAACACCCAAAACTAATATAGAGAGTGAAGGGTCTCAAGACACAGTCAACAACCCTTTTGACTAAGAGGATCTAGTTCACAGACACACACACACAGAGTGTAATCACCCTGCTGCTGATATTAACTACTGCCTTAGTCAGCTCAGGCTGCTGTAACACAATACCATAGACTGGGTGGCTCAAACAACAGATAATCAATTTTCTTACAGTTCTGGAGGTGTCTTATAGTCCAAGATCAAAGTACCAGCAGATGTGATTCTTGGTGAGGGCTCTCTTCCTGGCTTGCAGATGGCTGCCTTCTTGCTATGTCCTCACATGGACTTTCCTCGGTGTATACCCATGGAGAGAGAGAAAGAAAGAAATCTCTAGTCTGTCTCTCTTCCTGTTCTTATAAGGGCACTCATCCAATCATGGGGCTCTGCTCTCAAGACCTCATCTATTAATAGTACCACCAGGTTGGGGATTAGGTCTTGAACTTACGAATTTTGGAGGGACACAAACATTCATTCCATAACAACTACCAAAGTAGTAGACTTCAGAGCAATTATTTTCTAATCCATATTTTTCCCCTTAAATCATATGTTCCTGGCTAATACTGAGTGTCCTAAGACTACATGTTAGAGAAATAGAAAATTTTAGATTATCCATCTTCATAATAACTAGTAGTGCTGTAGAAATGCAGTTTGTCAGTCTCTAGGGTCTCTCTATTCTACCGTTTCAGGTAGGCTGTGGTTCTATGGTCAAGTCAAAGAGAAGCTGCACTGAGTATTTATTCACAGTAAGAACAGCAGTTGAGATCAGGGGCTCTAGAGCTAGAATGATCTGGGTTCAAATGTGATTCTATGACTCCCTACCTGTGACCTTTCTAAACTTTGATTTCCCCATCTATAAAATGGAAGGAATGATAATATCGTTTATCATTGTATATCACTATGTAGTTGTGAGGGTTGAGTAATACATGAAAAGCCCTGCCACAGGGTAGAGACTAAATACACAGTGGCTATTACCATTGTTGCAGTTGGTATCATCGGATGTGATACTTATGTTTTTCTAGCTCATATGTGCTTTTCTACTATCACGCCGAGATCTCCAAAGAGCAGGGATTAAGCTTCCCTCAACAGAATTCTTCTTGTCTTCTTGAGGTTATAAAAGGTCTCCTGCTTCAAGTAACTCAGGGAGCTGCCAATGTAAGGCTCTGCCTTGTGGGGCATAAGAACTGTTGTGGTCACTTGCCTGTCTACTGGCCCAAAAACTCCTCCAGAGTCCTGGGCATAGCACAAGTTAGGCCTTCTTTTTAGGAAGCCAAGAGTCCTCCTCCACCTCCCCAAGCCTCTTTGCCCCACTCTAGTGAGCAGTGATCTTCACTCACACCTTGACTACCCACCGCCCATTTCCCCTTACATGACTCTTCACCCCTGAGCACATATATGTCATGTACTGGCCTTCAAGAGTGATCTTTCATTTCAGCTTTCATTTCTTCCAGGATTCCCCAGGATCAACCATCTGAGCAGATACCTTAGAATGTCCCCAGATTTCAGAGGTAAGTCACTAGTACTTTCCCAGAGTAGTAGACATCATTTCTGCCCTGCCCCTGTGGTCCTAACCATATCCAGTGACATCAAAATCTGGTGTCATATCTCATGGAAGACCCACACCCCCAAAGCCCTTCATCCTATTATACTGGATCCCTTTATCCAGTGCTCATAAACCACGTGAATGGCCTGGCCTGCTTGGTAAAGGCCTTGAGCCCAGCTCCTCTTTCAGCCACTCCCAATCAATCTGCCAATCATCTCTTCCAGGAAGCTTCCTGCCTTCTCTTCCAAGCCAAGCTGGATTAGGGACCCCTACATTGAGCTCACCCTGTACTTATCTCTGTTGTTAACCACAGTACTGGAATGATCTGTGTCTCCATCTGCCTCCCACACTAAACTGAGTTCCAGGAGGGCTGGGGCCATGTGTTATTCATCTCTGCATCTCTGGCATTTAGACTGTGCCTAATATATAGTAAGCATGCAGTACATGTTGAAAGAAATAAATAAAGGTGGGAGGAGGAAGGGAGGAGGGAAAAAGAACGATAGAAAGCAAGGAAGAAAAAAAGAAGAGGCCGGGCGCGGTGGCTTACGCCTGTAATCCCAGCACTTTAGGAGGCTGAGACAGGCGGATCACAAGGTCAGGAGATCAAGACCATCCTGGCTAACACAGTGAAACCCCATCTCTACTAAAAATACAAAAAAATAGCCAGGCGTGGTGGCGGGCGCCTGTAGTCCCAGCCAGTCGGGAGGCTGAGGCAGGAGAATGGCGTGAACCTGGAAGGTGGAGCTTGCAGTGAGCCGAGGTTGCACCACTGCACTCCAGCCTGGGCGACACAGCAAGACTCCGTCTCAAAAAAAAAAAAAAAAAAAAAAAAAAAGAAGAAGAAGAAAAAGAAGAAAGGAAAAAGGAGGAAGGAAGAATAAGGAAAGAATCAAAGTCATAGGAAGAAGGAAATAATGAGAATAGGCTGGATCGAATTCTGTAGAATAATTCCCAATGGCCTTGAACAGTGAAGCTAAAGCCCATCCTCCTCTATATTTAATCTTCCAACATCTCCTTCTCTGTTATTAATATAAAAACAGAGTAAGTTTATATGGGCCCATTAAAATCATTGGCCAAATAATCATGATGGTACCTGGAGCCCTAGGTCATCAGAAACCCCTATAAAGTCCTATGTACTGACAGCAGGACATAAAACTATCATCAAACACAAACACTGAACCTTTTCCTGGTCACAAATACATGCTCCACTCAGCGGCCAAGGTCAGTCACTTCTTGTGTACATGAACCCTCCCTGGTCCGCCCCTGCTGACAAACATTTCCACACACATCCAAGGAGAATGGGAGAGGGACCAAAAAGCTCTTAGGAATTCAGTGACATAATCACCTTACAGGTATCACCACAAATGGAGAGGGGCAGGAACCCAGAAAGGCAAAAGGCAAAACAGAATAGCCGGATAATCAAGAAAATATTCACATGTGTACACACACACACCTACTCAACAGTTTAACTTCCCTAATAATGTTTTGCTCCGATTAATAATTAAATGGCCTGTGTACTTTGAATAGACGCCAACTACTTCTCAGCACGGAGAAGTGGTAGAGTGGTAGGACAGCCTGGAATGAAAATGAGCCAGTCCACCACATAGATAATCAAGAGCTTCTTGCATTCATTCCCTATATCTGCTCAAAATTTTTGACTCAAATTTTGTTTAAGTCAAAATTTTAGAGATTAGAGATGAGATGTGGAGAAAGTTCACTTTACCAACTTTGGTCTATTCCAGCCAATTCAGTCATTGTTCTCTCCACACAGAATAGAAGCAATAGTTTGACCCTTAAACCTGAGCTGAACTCTGTTGATTGTGTTTGGAGGACAGCTCCCCTTGGCTTTGTAGGCTAACCCCCATGTGTCCACTCTCTCCCTTCAGCAGATGCTCCCTTATGGATACCACTCCATCCCTCTGAACACAGTATATATTCCTCATGATTCATTGTGGTCAGGAATTTAATTACTGATCATAAATTATGTGGGAATTACCTTCCAAGGAATTGGGAAAATGAGTGTGATTGTAGGAAAAGATAATCTATTATAGATTACTTTTAAAATAATGTCAAATGTTAATCTTGTATATGGGAAGAGAGGAAAAGACTAAGTTAAAGTTAGCAGAAGGTCTGAGGGATCCCAACTAGTGCTCAGGTAAGGAGGGTGGGAAAGAGGGAAAGGAGAATGTGAAGGAAGAAGGCCTATTTGGACAAAAGGCACATCCCACATGGAATCATCTTCCCCAAATCAAAGGAGGGTGGGTGCTTCCCAGGAGGGCACAGTGTGACTCTCCAAGCACCCACTGGGCATGGAAGAAGGTGCCTGCCAGTGCCTGCCTCTTTCCCATTCTCCTTTTTCTTCCTTCTTCCCCTCGCCTCCTTTCCTTCCATCCACTTTCTTTTTCTTTTTGAGATGGAGTCTTGCTCTGTCGCCCAGGCTGGAGTGCAGTGGCACAATCTTGGCTCACTGCAAGCTCTGCCTCCCATGTTCAAGCAATTCTCCTGCCTCAGCCTCCCGAGTAGCTGGGATCACAGGTGCATGCTACCATACCCGGCTAATTTTTGTATTTTTAGTAGAGATCACCATGTTGGCCAGGCTGGTCTCGAACTCCTGACCTTGTGATCTGCCTGCCTTGGCCTCCCAAAGTGCTGGGATTACAGGCATGAGCCACCGTGCCCGGCCCCTTCCATCCACTTTTATTGACCACCTGTGTGTTAGGTGCTGTGAAGGTGGTGGGAATATAAAAATAACAGAAAAGTCTCTAATGTCCAGTCATTAAGCAGTAAAGCTAGTAACCAACAAGTTCAGCAAAGCAAACTATGCAACCATATCACAGAGCCTGTGTTAATAAATGTGGCCCAGTGTGCCTCAATGGAGGCAGCAGCCATTTCCACCTGGCAGCCAATAGCTGATTTCAGTAACAATGTTGTTCTCAAAATTTCCCCACACCTACTGCTCTAGAATAAAATAAAATAGAGACATCACAACCAAAAGCAAAGTAAGAATTTTGATTGGATCTTGTTTAAAAAAAACATCCAAAGTGCATTGACTTTGGAGACTCACAAGGGGAAGGATGAGAGAGGGGTATGGGATTAAAAACTACATATTGGGTACAACGTATACTACTTGGGTGATGGGTGTATGAAAATCTCAGACGTCACCACTATATAATTCATCCACGTAACCCAAAACCATTTGTACCCCAAAAGCTACTGAAATTTTTAAACACACACACACACACACACACACACACACACACACACACACATATCTGTTAGAAGACATATTGGGAAACATTTTGGAAAATTTTATATGATTTGGGAATTGGGAACCAGGGGATATTAGGTAATTATCATTAATTTTCTTAAGTGTAATAAAGGTTACTGTGAGTACATCAAAGGATGTTCTTATTTTCAAGAGATGTGTGTTGAAGTATTTAGGGATGATGTCTGTATCTTACATTGAAATAATTTAGTAAAAAACATATATTTGGTAACATGTATATAACTAGAATCTAGATGAGGGATTTCAGTGTCAACTGTACTATTATTTCAACTTTTCTATACATTTGAAATTTTTTATAATAAAAAATTTGAGGCCGGGCACAGTGGCTCACACCTGTAATCCCAGCACTTTGGGAGGCCGAGGCAGGCATATCATGAGGTCAGGAAATCGAGACCATCCTGGCTAATATAGTGAAACCCCGTCTCTACTAAAAATACAAAAAATTAGCCGGGTGTGGTGGCGGGCGCCTGTAGTCCCAGCTACTCGGGAGACTGAGGCAGGAGAATGGCGGGAACCCAGGAGGCAGAGCTTGCAGTGAACCGAGATCGCACCACTGCACTCCAGCCTTGGCGACAGAGCGAGACTCTGTCTCAAAAAAAAAAAAAAGAAAAAAAAAGTCTGAATAAAAAATTATCTCCACTTGCTAGCCTGTTGTAATAAAGCCTTTAGTAGAATAAAGTCTTCTGTGTGTCAATTAGCTAATAAATAATCATAACTAACATTTGTCATGTGCCAGGCAATGCTGAGAGCTAGCGTGCAATAACGGCAGTATGAGCCTTGCTTTACAGAGAGGGAAACCGAGGCTTGGCAAGGTTAAGTTCTTATCCCAAGACACACAGATAGTAACTGTCAGGGCCAGATCCCAGCCTGGCTTTGATCTGGTTCTAAACTACCCACTCTTAACTGCCAGCTTCTACTGACAACCTTCTAGAAAAAACGCTGACATGCAATGTCTGGGTGAAGTAATGGTAACAGGAATCATTGCCATGAAGGGCAGTCTGTCAACTTGTGCGTGCAAACAACCATTCTAAGAGCCTTTCTTGCTTTGATAGGGAGAAAAAAGGCTTCGGGTGCTGCCAGAAGAGAAGAGGCCATCAGTGAGTGAGGAAAAGGCATGGAAAGAGGAAGGGGGGAAGGGAAACAGCCTCACCTTATAGACCTGCAGTTCTGTGGGGCAAATTAAAGCTGTAAAGCAGGTATTTTTGACTGGAGCAGCAGACAAATGTTTCTGTTTAGTAGAAAAGTTACTGCAATCAATGCTGTTCCACATCACTAATGAAGGCTGAAAAAAGTCACAGCTGAAAGGTATAATGGTGCTTTCTTCCAGAGGGCTGCTTAAGCAAGGTCTCATTGTGCCTGAAGTCTGTATTGCTTACTGGCCATTCGGGACGTGCAATGCGATTTAAGAGAGTGGTGCTGGGCTGCACTGAGCCAGCTATACGCTCTTACTCAGTCCCCTGTAGAACAGGGCCAGAGAGAGTGGAGGGCAGGGTGTGCCCAGCCAATTGGCCTCTATAGGAATTTCAACCATGACCTCAACCTTATTTGCTCTCTGCTCCAGTCTCCTGACTAACCAGCCTGTGCACGGCAGAGCCTGAGTTCCACAGCCAGCCTGGCAGGGCCACCATGTAACAGTCCAGGGTCAAGTTGCATTTTGCTTTTGGTGTATAAAATGCAAGAACTGGAGAAATCATGTAAAAAGTCAGGAGGAGGTAAGCATTCCAAGCACCAGCCTCCCTGGAATTCAGCATTAGAACAAAAGCCACTTCCTTCAGTGCCCTTTTCTTACAGAGTAGTTTTTCCTGTGAGGAGAGAGTTACCGCATAACACCTCCGTTAGTGGGATGTTCTGAGTTGTCGGGATTAACCATCGAGGCGGTGGGGTGAAGGGTCCCATTATGCAGAATGTGGGGACTGCCCCTGAGATGTTTTTGTTTTTAAAACAAACACAATTGTGCCAGCTGATCTCAGAAAATGTTTCTAGAAAATTTGCAGCCTGTGACATCACAGACCTTCCTTTCAGCCTCGGACCAGCAGCAACACACTCTGAAGTAGGTCTCAGAAGACAAAAAGCTGAAATCAACTCATGCTTCCTGCTACACAGAATCCACTGAGAGGAAAAGGAAATTTTACCCAAACTTCAGAAAGCTACAGAAATGACACCCATTTTCACAATCCCAGAAGGAAAGTTGCATCTGAGGGGAATAAAAACAGAGCAATGGAAGAGTATTTGTTAAAATAAATGGCTTTCACAGGGCATTTTCTCTAAAAGTCTCCCTCGCCTCAAAGAGTACTCCTGTCTGCAGTCCCTCTTGCACGTCACACAGCTGTGGGCTTCCTGGGAGCTGCTGCCATCTCCTTGCCTAAAAGCCTCAGTGCCCCCACCCCCAGCCAACCCACCTGCCCCACAGCTGGTCTCCCTTTCTCTGGCTTCTTAGAGAAATAAGACCCCCTTCTCCCAGTGAGGCATCTTTCTGAAAGGTAAGTATGAACCCACTCCTCTCCTGCTCAAAAATAGTGGCCGGCTCTCGATCTCCCAAAAGATAGAAATACACACTTTGGTCTGGTGTGGCGGTTCATGGTTCATGCCTGTAATCCCAGCACTTTGGGAGGCCAAGGCAGGCAGATCACCTGAAGTCAGGAGTTGAAGACCAGCCTGACCAACATGGTGAAACCCTGTCCCTACTAAAAGTACAAAAATTAGCCAGGCATGGTGGCATACACCTGTAATCCCAGCTACTTGGGAGGCTGAGGCAGGAGAATTGCTTGGACCCAGGAAGCAGAGGTTGCATGAGCTGAGAACGTGCCATTGCACTCCAGCCTGGGTGACAGAGCAAGACTCTGTCTCAAAAAAAAAAAAAAAAAAAAAAGAAAAGAAAGAAAGAAAAGAAAAAGAAATGCATACTTTATTTGGTACCCGGGCCCTCATGACCTTTCTCCTGCCCACTTTTCCCAGACTGTCTGCTACCACATGGTATGTACAGCCTTTCTCCCAGTCACACGGACTCCTCTGAATGCTTGCCTGTCTTTCCCGTGTGGCATCTGCCTGTGCCTTTCTACTCACTGTCCACATGTCTAAAATGCTCTTCCTCTAAACCCACAGAGAAAACGTAACCCAAATGCCACCTCCTCGGTGGAGCCCCTCTGGAAGTTTCTTTCTCTCTCTGTCTCTCTCTCTCTCCACATACACGCTGCTTACCTTCCCAGCCACACAGGTATCACTCCCCTTTTCAGGGCTTTGCTCTGTTCTCTGTTGACAGATCTGCTACCCACACTAGTCTGTGAGCACTCCTTTGGGGACAGAGCCCATGAAGTGCTCATCTTTGTGTTTCCAGTTCTTAGCCCACTGCCTGGCACCTAGTAAGGTGCTTCATAATCTAAGTCCCCCAACCAGCAAGACCAAATTCTGCTATTTCCAAGTCATCCTCAACACTCCATAGGAAAGAGTTCTGCTACCACAGAACAATGTATTCTATATTGCCTGTAAATTATTACATTTCTCTCTTCCTGGAGATACACACACACACACACACACACACACGTATATATAGATATATAGGCGCCTGGCGTATACAACCTAAATCTTATAGAAACTCTTGGCTTCTGTGTGAGGGACAAATGGAGTCAGTCTTTAGGCTAATATTTTTTCTATAAACTAAGATTTTAAAACAATTGATGTTGATATCTTAAAGGGTCAGTCAACAAATTAATCAACATTATCTCCTAAACAACAGCCAAGGACCAGTGGAAGGGTGGGAGAGAATAAAAAATGTGACTTCCCTAAAGTATATTATAGTTTAGCAGGACAAAATTTTTTTAATTCGATAATTTAAAAATTTTTTTAGAGACAGGGTTTTGTTCTGTCACCCAGGCTGGAGTGCAGTGGCACCATCACGGTTCACTACAGCCTCAAGCTCCTGGACTCAACACAATCCTCCCACCTTAGCCTCCCACCTTAGCCTCCCAAGTATCTGAGACTACAGGTGCACTGCAACTGCACCCAGCTAATTTTTAAGAATTTTTTTGTAGAGGCAGGTGTCGCTATGTTACCCAAGTGGGTCTCGAACTCCTGGGCTTAAGTGGTCCTCCTGCCTTGGCCTCCCAAAGTGTTAGGAATACAGGCAAGAGCCACTGTGCCCTGCCTGCATCCTAGAATATACTCTATATATACACATACACACACACACACACACACACATTGCACTCCAGCCCAGGTGACAGTGTGAGACTCCATCTCAAACAACAACAAAAAAGATTTAGGTTGTATATTCAGAAGTTGCAGGAATGCCGTGGCCTAATAGGATAAAAAGTCCTGGCACTGTGCCCTGGCCTCCTTCCCCATTGTCTGTCCTCTTGTTCGGCCTCTTTTCAGGCTGGGCTCTGCTCTCCCTTCCCAGGGCCAAAGGATTCAGAGGCAACCCAAGATTTACACATCGAATTCCTCGCCAATTTTCTTGCCATCACCCTTGTGGGGTCTGGCTCTCCGCTGTTGCAGCAATTTATTTATTTATTTATTTATTTATTTATTTATTTATTTTTGAGACGAAGTCTCACTCTGTCACCCAGGCTGGAGTGCAATGGCATGATCTTGTCTCACTGCACCCTCCACCTCCCAGCTTCAAGCGATTCTCCTGCCTCAGCCTCCTGAGTAGCTGGGATTACAGGTGCCCGCCACCACTCCCAGCTAATTTTTGTATTTTTAGTAGAGACGGGGTTTCACCGTGTTGACCAGCCTGTTGCAGTAATATTAATACTTCATCAGCAGGACCTGCCACTCTTTAACCTTCCATGGTTCAGTGGCTGTAAGGAGAAAATTAATATACATTGCTTCTTCCAAAGTGACCCTGGAGAAACTTCTTTCCCCCCAGCTGTCACTACTTCAGAAATTCTAAAATGAGATTGGGGAAGATGAAGGATGTGTGAAAAATTCTCCCTTGGCTTCCACCTGCCACTTGTTATCACCAGCTATCTGAAGAGTCCAGTTGCCTGGAGGCCTTCAGCTGGGATAATGGTAATCTTTTTTTTTTTCCTTTTTCTTTTTTTTCTTTTCTTTTTTTTTTTTTTTTTTGAGACAGAATCTCGCTCTGTCGCCCAGGCTGGAGTGCAGTGGCGTGGTCTCGGCTCACTACAACCTCCACCTCCCAGGTTCAAGTGATTCTCCTGCCTCAACCTCCTGAGTAGCTGGGATCACAGGTGCATGCTACCACACCCGGCTAATTTTTGCATTTTTAGTAGAGATAGGGTTTCACCATGTTGGTCAGGCTGGTCTCGAACTCCTGACCTTGTGCTCTGCCCGCCTTGGCCTCCCAAAGTGCTGGGATTACAGGCATGAGCCACCACGCCCGGCCTGGGATGGTGGTATTCTATGCAGTGTCTCCAGGCTGCCAAGTAGAGCAGTTTCAGAATGGCCTCAGGGTTGATGTCAACCAAAGGAAAGCAGCTGGTGTCTTTATCCATGACCCTCCTTCCATCTCCATGACCCTCCTTCCATCTCCATGACCCTGCATTATCCTCCCATGGCCATCCTGCCACAAACTCCCCCTCAAAGGCCTTAGCAGAGGGCCAAGAATTTGTTAGTTGAGGGAAAAAAAAACTTGTTTCAATGTCAAACTGACATTCCTAAGGGCTCCTGCAGCCTCCCCTACTGGAATCCTTCAGATCCTGGGCTTGAGTGTTGGTGAGATGGGAATCTAATCTGTGCAGCTGTGCAGTCAAGGAGTGGCCAGGTGTTCAGGACATGAGGACAGGGTCAGAGACTAGTTACTGGAGAGATGGACACACACGGGCCCAGGCCAGCCTGAGAAGGCCATTAAAAGTCCTGGTGTTGTGCCCCAGCCACCTTCCCCATTGTCTTTCTTAACAACGACATGATCACTGTTAACCAATGGTGGCCCAAACTTTTTTTTTTTTTTTTTTTTTTTTTTGAGACGGAGTCTCGCTCTGTCACCCGGGCTGGAGTGCAGTGGCCGGATCTCAGCTCACTGCAAGCTCCGCCTCCCGGGTTCACGCCATTCTCCTGCCTCAGCCTCCCGAGTAGCTGGGACTACAGGCGCCCGCCACCTCGCCCGGCTAGCTTTTTGTATTTTTTAGTAGAGACGGGGTTTCACCGTGTTAGCCAGGATGGTCTCGATCTCCTGACCTTGTGATCCGCCCGTCTCAGCCTCCCAAAGTGCTGGGATTACAGGCTTGAGCCACCGCGCCCGGCTGATGGTGGCCCAAACTTAATTCAAGGTCCTGAGAACCCCTTCAAAGAAGGGGAGGAGCCAAGCAGGTAACAGCATCTCAGGGGTTTCAACAGCAGGGATTAGAAGTCAGACTGGGAGTGTCTGAGTTTTGGGGCAGGAAATAAAATACTGAATCTTAGATGGGAAATGCTGAATTATTAGGCAGGTGTTTGGTCAGAGCAGAATATCATAAAGCAGACTGGGAACAAGGACTCAGGATACTGAAGTCAAACCATGCTTACGAGCTGCAGAACTACCTTGTTAATGGGCTACAGGCTGAGAGTATCTCCTTCCTCCTACCTGGAACCAGGTCTGCTCCTAGACCTGGAGGCACAACTGACTTTGCAGGTGGAGCCCTCCCTATGCTAGAGGTCAGCACCTTAAGGATCAGAACCACGCCTGGCTCACTCTCCACTCAGTGAGTGCCTGATACATGGTAGGCACTTGATGAACACTTACTGAGTGAATGACCATTATGTATGTTTTTGGGAAGCTGGATCAGGATGTAGGCACAGCCTCTCTCCCCTAGAAAAGCAGAGTCTGTTCATCCTGAAAGTTTCACCATTACCAGATATCTGCCTGGACCTGTACAGCTCGAGCCGCTGGATTTATCCTGTTTTAACAAACGCATCGTGCTTGCCATGTGCAGCAAAAATACACCAATTTAATATTCAACAATCCTTTGAGGTAGGTATTTTTATTTTATTTTATTTATTTTTTTTTTTTCTGAGACAAATTTTCTCTCTGTTGCCCTGGCTGGAGTGCAGTGGTACGATCTCTACTCCCTGCAAGCTCCGCCTCCCGGGTTCCCGCCATTCTCCTGCCTCAGCCTCCCGAGTAGCTGGGACTACAGGTGCCCACCACGGTGCCCGGCTAATTTTTTGTAGTTTTAGTAGAGACGGGGTTTCACCGTGTTAGCCAGGATGGTCTTGATATCCTGACCTCGTGATCCACCCACCTCGGCCTCCCAAAGTGCTGGGATTACAGGCGTGAGCCACCGCGCCCAGCCTGAGGTAGGTGTCTTTATTAACCCCGTTTAATAGATGAGAC